ATCAGTATACGCAGCTTCGAGCACAATTACTGAAAGCAAGAGAGCATGGTTTGTTGATTTTTTGATTTTCACATTTTTTTTCCTATCGATAAAAAACAATATTGTTGTCTTATCACAAGTGGGCTGAGATGAGATCGCAATATTATTTTTTCATCGCTTATTTTTTCTTTGCATTGAATAACTTGAGAAAATTTTGGGAAGAAGAGAAGTTTGATTTAGGTAGAGAAATCCTTAAATACATTCCTAAATTTACTGCTTGACCAATTGATTTCTTTGAATAGGTTCGAAAGAGTTTCATTTACGAAAACCAAACTTATCAGGACCAGAAGTTTCAGAATATTTCGCAAGAAATCAGTGAGATATCAAGTGATGACAAAAAAATTTCGGCTGCAGAGAAAATGCGCAGGCCAAATTATGCTGCTCAAACTAAAACTTTTTATTTTCCTTATGAATTACTTAAATTCAACTTTTTGTAGGTTTCATCAAATTTGCAGTACCATTTCAAAATTTCGACTATAAAAACTGGTATCCATGGTGGGATAAAGAAGACCATATATATGTTCGTCGCGAAGTACCAGTGGAAGAAATTCATAAGCAACCCCTGGTGAATTTCCCGGTTCATAATCGTGATTATAATAATGATTGGGATCAATATTGGTTACGACATAATGAATTTGTACAGCGATCCAAATGAATGTTTAGATTTCATCATGTGCAAATAAAATCCTAATACTATTTTTAGCCAATTTAGCACCGAACAAAGTGACAAAGTTTGATTGAGAGGACTATCTCAACTATATTTTAACCTACAGCATAAACTCTGTGCATAATTTTCATTTTGATTATTCCCGTATGTATTGTCTGGGACAGCTTGAATATCTTAGTGAGTTTCAGTTCACTATATACGGGACTATAATCCCAAATTTTTAACAAAAATTATTTCAAACATTTAAATAATGAATGTAATGTTGCTAATTGTACATATTATATCTATGCCAGAATTCAATTCAATCAATATTTGGTTCTGAATTAAATTCAAATTTCTGGTAAATTTCTTTTAATTTTCGAACAAATTTGGCCTTATTTCGTCGATATTCACCACACGCAAGAACCTGAAAATTCATATGAAGACTGATTGGAAATTATCCTCATCTTATATAAAATTACAATTTTGACAAAACTGTACGAGAAAAATACTTTAAATATGCATGAAATATAAAATTGCCGGACTTTTGTATCAATTTTTCTTATTAAAAAAGGATTTCTGGGATAATTTTGTAACTTCCAGAATGTTATCCGAAAAGATCACTCACATGGTTGACAAGATTTAGTCCATCAGTAATCAAATGACAACTACCAAATACATCTGTATATCGTTTTTGTATCTAAAACAACTAATTTGATTGGTGAAAATGCATTAAACATATAATAATATCATACAATATCATTCGAAATACAATTTTAAATTTTACCTTTCTAAGTTCATTTTCTTCAAATGTTAAAACTGATAAAACAACAATCCCTGAAATTGATTGCATTCTTTTCATTTTGTTTTCGCCAAAAATTTAACAAACTTTTTGTAAAACACAAAATTGAATTTTGATTGGAAATTTAAATTAAAAACTTGAGTTTCATGTTGTAAAACTTTATCCAAAATTTGAAGTGTTGGAAAGATCGAAATTGTTGAAACTTGGCGGATCGCTTTTACAATACATCGGCATATTCGAAATATGCAAATATTTGGAAATTCTCAAAATAATGGAATTCGTACAAACGGTATAATTCCAAAACAATATGAAGAAGGTAACAGTGGAATCAGTGATTTCCCGCATTTGTTGAAAAATATTTACAAAAAAGTCCAAAGGTCAAAAGTTAACAAACAATTTATAATTATGCAAAGTGTGGAATGAGAGAGAGAGAGAAAAAAAACGAACCATTTTTGGTTAATGCTTTTTTAACAATATGCAAATTTTGTTTAAGCATAAAAGCTTCAACCGGACACATCACTTCGTCAACAATTCGATCATAGCAAGCATCGATAAAGATCACATTGAATTTAGATTGACCTCCAAAATTTTAATTGCTTCTCTTTGATGCAATTATATTCGAATAGTTAAAGATAATTAAAATTCGAAATAGTAAAATTTCGAATGTATTAAAAGTTAACATCAATTTTAATCAATAGATAAGTGATGGAACGAACTTGATGAAGTTTTCTGTAAATATCGTAAACCATCCTCAATAATTACTCTTTGATAATTATCTTCAATTAGACCAAAATATTTCTTAGCTATTTCATACATTCCTTGTTCTAATTCTATTGCTGTTATATTTATCTGAAATTAATTTTTTAAAAATTTGAATTATTTCATGATTTCTGTTTTTTTTTCGAAAGATATATATCTTAAAATAATGATGAGATCGATGAAATCAGAGATGAATAGAACAATGAATGATAAATGAATGATAATTGATAAATGAATTTATTGATTAATGTAATTAGAAATATGGAAAGGTGATCTATAGAATGTTAAATTTTATCAATACCTATTTTGTTTTTCTGTAATCTTTTGTAGTAATACTAATATGTCTATTCTTTTAAAATCCTCATTTTACAGTTTTTCAGGTCAAAGTGCATTACTAGAAACTGCAATAATCGTTTTTGATAGTGCACTTTGACCTGTCACTGCAAAAGGGGGGAAGGATGAATATTTAAAGTTTTACGAAATTTAAATGCTTAGAAAGAGAATTTCGCATCATTAACACTTATTAATAACTTTTTCAAAAATCCAAATTCCAATTAGCATTGTTATCATATAGTAGCACTGCTAAGTGACAATTATTTAGTAAAAAAAAAAAAAAAAAAAAAAAAAAAAAAAAAGAAGACAAAACAAAAACAAACAAACATTGGTAAAGACATTATGCAAAAAGCTATTCAAAATTCCGGTACCAAGACCAATTTCTAGGATATTCCATACTTTGCCATTATTTTCTAACTGTAATGCATTAAGCGCAAATGGCGCAGCAGCCATTGCTTGAATATATGGTACTAAAATTTTCGAATGATTTAATGGTAATAATGTGGTGTCCAATTTTGTCGCATTTTGTTTTTCTGAAATGACAAGATAAAAAAAAGAAAAACAAAACAGTTCAATGATTAAAAGATAATACAACATATTCAATTCATATTAATGATTAAATTTTGCGATAAAAAACGATAAATTAGCAAAATTGCAAGCAAAAATATGAAAACTTTTATATGTTACGTGAAATTTTTTATGAATTAACTCAGGTAAAGTTTCACCTGGTGGTACCTCCAATACCATACTTGCAACTGCAAATGGACTTACATCCGTAAGCTTCAGTACTCGTTGGATGAATAAACTGTAAATATGAATTAAATTAATTTGTCATCTTAATTATACCTAGCACAGGGAGAGAGAGAGAAAAAGATGGAGAGAAAGAGAGAGTTAACCTTTCTCTCTGTAATGGTCAGTATTATGGTCAGATTTGAAGCGGGTATTGCATTTAATACAAAATTGATCGAAATTAGTTACACAGATTCATGCAAAATGGACAAGAAGGGATATTTTGGATTAATATATTTTTATCATAATTAAATTGAATGAAATTAATTAAATAAAATAAAAAATTGTAATTATGAAGTCATTTAAAATGAAAGCAAAAATTAACATTTAAAAATTTTAATTTCTTCAGAAAAACAATATAAAAAAGTTGATATTTAGTGAATTTTTCCAAAGATTTTTTTTTTAATGCAAATTTACTTTTCAAATTTCAAATTTCATTTCAAAACATTGGACAGTATAGTGGTTGTTTTAATTGTAATAATGCAAAATTTTAATTTTAAAGAACTATAAATAATGCTAATACCTTTCATCATATTCTTTTATTGCTATATCTTCAATTCTGTAATGTCGTCCATTGATTAATATATCATCCAATAAGATTATCTTGATAAGTTCGCAAGTATCGTAAAGTTCATGACTACATACTACCAAAATGTAGGATGTAAGAAACTATAAAAATTTTTAAATTTTTATAAATTTAAAAAAAAGTTTTAAAAATAAATAAAATAACCAAAATAAGGCAAAGATAGAGTTTGAAGTGGAAAAAAGAAAAAAAAACAAGAAAAAAACGAAAACAAAAGTTCATGATATATGTTTTAATTGGTTTTTAATAGAAATTTAATTAATTTAATTCAATTGAAAACCTAAATATTTTCTATTTTCTCTTGCTAAAATAGATAAAACATTAATTAATTAATTAAAATTAAGGTGGTTTAATGCAATTAACAAATAAAATGTTTTCTATTTTTTTTTCTTAACAAAATAGGTAAAGCTTTATTGTTATTGATAATTGTTTGAAATGTTTCCTAACATGGTACAAAAAATTGAATTATTTGGCGTTAGATTTTTTGGCTTTTATCTATTCGCAAAAGATCTTGAAATTAGATTTGCATACAAAAAGTCCAAACTCCCTTTCAACTTGTTAAGTATAAGGCACTGCAACTATAACTACTAATTAGTATTAATAAAAGTTTGCTAATTTCTAAAAGAGTTTCACTTCTCCAATCACAAAAGAAAATATGAATATGTGAGAATAACTTTAACCTTGTTGACAATAATAATAATGATAATGATAATAATAATAATAATAATAATAATAATAATAATAATAATAATAATAATAATAATAATAATAATAATAATAATAATAATAATAATAATAATAATAATAATAATAATAATAATAATAATAATAATAATAATAATAATAATAATAATAATAATAATAATAATAATAATAATAATAATAATAATAATAATAATAATAATAATAAT